TCATCTAAAACCAGTTCCTCTAAACAAAGAAATTCAATAGCCAGTTTCTTTGACCCAGAAACAGAAAATCCAATCAATGAAGAAGATCACTCTTAAACTTATGATTCTATATTAGGATCTTCAAGAACTCATTTTGCTGATCTTACAGGCATATTCATGCCTAGAACTGCAGAATCAAGAGTTGAGTCATGGTATGATTCTCTTGATTCTGAAACAGAAGGTGTTTCTAAATAATACCAAGGGAAAAGGTCTACAGGAGGAACATGGTTTACACTTGATGATATTCCTCCAACCAATAGAGAAAAAGGCTCTTAGAATTTGGATCCTGAATTGATACCAAACTACTAGCAGCTGATGTTGATCCATACAAAGTCATTAAGGAATTTTGTTACAAAATGACTGGACCTTTAAAAGAATGGTACTATAATCTTGGAAGTGTGAAGTAAGACCAACTTCACAATCTCACTATAGTCGCAGCTGTGTTAGGCATACTCCATCAAGAATTTATTGGTGATAGAGATATTCTTAATAAAAAGTTCAGATAAAAGTATTTTAAGATAAGATGTTATTCTCTCAAGATTAAAGATACAGAAATGCATTTCAAAAGGATGATGCAAAGATTTTATTTGTTAAACGGATATAATGATTCCAGCCTAAAAAATTGTGGCTTCTTTGCCAAAACATATTCAACCCGAACTTAACCGCATGACTGTAGCACAAAACAAAGATTTTACAACTATTATAATGGGACAAATTCATCAAATGACTCTGGAGGCAGTTGACAAGCTTTGCAAGCAACACAAATACATCACTGGTGTGATAAAGCAGTAACCAAAATAGTCCAAATCTTGCAAAAAGTCATACTTGGAGATAAAGTGTAAATATGGTAGCAGCTGCAATTGTTCTTTGAAGAAGAAAAACAAACTCAAGAGATTTGAGAAAAAGGAAAAAAAAAAAAAAGAACTTCATGTTCTTCAAGAAGAAAAAAATTAAGGGAAAAAAGCAAAGACAAAGATGCTTTATTTCCAAGAAGAAAGGCCAATTGCAAAAATTTACCCCAACAAATCTAATAAAGCAGTGTAGATGATTAATGCATTACATCTTAATGATGATGATGCATAATCATTGTATTCTAAACAAGTTCTAGGAATGAAAAAACAATCTTTGCTCTACAGGATTTTCCCTGTGAATTTAGTCTATCAGAAGATGATATCCCAATCTTTTTAGTACCTGGAGTTTCATCATATCAACCATGTTATACCATAAGCCTCTGCAGAAGTTCAAATTCTTCTATCCATATTTGAGCATCCAAAAAAGGCAATTGTTTTTATGGATACTGGCATTCAGAAATCTATGATGGATCCAAAGATCCTACCTCTATTGTAAAAAGAACCTGTTTATTTTGTTGCAGCTAGTGGAAAGATTTTCAAAACTGAATTGGTCACCAAACATCCTATTGGGATAAAAAGTTTCCAAGAATGCATTGTTTAGACCAAAATCATTGGAATTAAACTGCCAAACAAAGATATTCTTATTGGCATGGATGCCTATTTTGCTGCTCATAGACTCCAGATTCTCTTATTACATGAAGTTCAAATCTTATTCAGAGACAATGAGATTGTATGCACTCTATAAAGCACCACTTGATCTCAACCATATCAAAGAAAGACTCAAGCGTCTTTGTACTGACAATCATGAAGGATTTTTTTCATCCTAATCCTTTATGAAAAAATGATAAGATTTTCATCCAACTTCCCTTTAAGTTGAATGAAGATATTTATCCTACGAAGGCGACACATCCAAGAATAACTCCTTCAAATCTCCAATTTGCTAGAAAAGAATGCTAAGAACTCCTAAGACAAGGTCTGATTGAATCAACTAAATCTCAATAGGCATGTCAAGATTTTTATGTAGAAAAAAAATCAGAAAAACTTCGAGGTAAAAAGAGGTTAGTGATTCAGTACAAGCCACTCAACCATTTCCTGCAAGATGATAAATTTGTTATCCCAAAACCCTTAGCAGCTCCAGTACTGATCAAAGATGCTCATGTTTGTTCCAAGTTTGATATCAAATCTGGATTCTAGCAACTTGGTATTGATCTTGTTGTTTGATACAAAATTGCGTTTTGTATTCCAAAGGCATAATACCAAAGGAAGGTATTCTCTTTCGATCTCAAAGTTTCCCCTTCACTGTTCCAAAAGGCGATGACCAGGATATTTGATCTTATCTTAGAGAGTATACTTATTTACATTGATGACATTCTACTATTCTCAAAAGATATAGAGACTCACAAAAGGTTGCTTAATAAATTTGTTGAAATAGTTCAAAAGTATGGAATCATGCTAGCTGAGAAGAAGATTTACTTAGCCCAATCTAAAATTAATTTTCTGGGCATGCATTTCTCTCAAAGAATGTATCAACCTCAGCCACACATTGCTGAAGAACTTCTCAAGTTCCCTGATGATAATCTTACAGTCAAAGAAGTTCAACAATTTTGTGGAATTCTCAACTACATCCGAGATTTCATTCCTTATGCAGTCAAACACACCAGCTAACTTTCCAAACTGTTGAAAAAGAATCTTTCTCCTTGGAGTCCTAACCAGACCAAAGCAATTAAAGAGCTCAAGAAGATAGCTCAAAATCCTCCTACTTTGAAAATTCCAGGAACAAACAAAAGAATTCTCCAAACTAATGCTAGTGATCATTTTTTGGGTGTTGTTCTCATTAAAGAAGTTGATCATAAAAAAACTATTGTGGACTATTCAAAGACTCTTAGAAGCATTACCACACAACTTTTAAAGAAGCATTGCCAGTAAAAAATGGAATCAAGAAATTTGATTTCCATCTTCGAGGTCACAATTTTGAAGACCATAGGGATAATTCATCCTTCCCAAAGATACTGGAATTCAAAAACAAAATGCCACCAGATCATCAGATTCTTAGACTAAAAGATTGGTTTTCCAGTTATTATTTCACTGTCAAATATGTTAGAGGAAACCTTAAAACAGTCCCAGATTACCTCTTTAAACCTCCCAATATTGTTCAAGCTATTTCCAAGATAAATAGTTTTCCTCTGATATTCATGAATAATCTTTTGCCCAAAATAGTCAGATTTTACAAAACTTTTCCTCCTGAATTAGGATAATCAGCTTCAGTTGAAAAGGTTCAAAAATTTGCGAGAGATTATTATTTTTATTACTTCCATAAAATCATAAGTGAGAAACATGTCACACCTGGAGTTTTTAACCTTAAAGTTGTGAAGACACTCTTGGGGGTATGTGGTGCATCACAATTCAATATTCGTCTCAATTGCTCTGAAGGTACTAGATATATACAGTATTCTCACTCACTGATCCAGACAAACAAGAATACTATTTGTGGACAGTCTTGGAATGATTTTCTCCATTATCTTAGTGGAGAAGAGAACTGGACAATATCATCCATTCTCGAGAAATTAATGGTAAGATATATTAACAGATTACTAAGGTAACCATTATTGACGTTGTCCATTATCTTTACTAAGATAACTTCTATGGAACACATTTGAAGACTATCTTATAGATCTAAGCTATAAGATCAAATTATATGAGCATCTGAAGGAGATAAATGGATATATTGTTATATATCCTGACCCAATCGACCCAAGTTCCTCACAAGGCCTAAAAGAAATTCTTTTTCACAATATTGTTGATGAACCAATTAGTCCTGGAGAGTTCAATCCTTACTTTGAAAATTCTCAAGATCCTAATGCAAAGGTTATGAATAAGATTATGCAAGAAAAGATCAAAACTGATTAGCCTTAGTATCATATTTTCTATGGTAGTCTTAATTCCAAAGAAAGGAAAGAGCTCAATCTAACACCCAGCCAATTATTCTTGCAGAAAAGCTACTTTAGTCAAAAGTTATTTTAATAATTTGGGTTGTTGTGTACTACAGTCAAAAGTTGCTTTATCATTTTGGATTGTAGTGCGTTTGGTCAAAAAGCTACTTTTTTAAATTTTGGATTGAAGTGTGTTTTGTCGGAAGTAATTATGATGTAAGCTATGATGTAACTATATTTGGGTATATATATTTAATTGTTCAATATTTTAGAATTATTCAATATGAATTATTTTTCTTAAATGAATTAGTTTTATAATGGATTTTAATATTTTATTCAATATTTGTGTTGTATATATTTAATTTAATTGTAATTAATTTTGGGTACTCGAAATATTAAGATAAATGATATTTAAATTTTTTATATTTTATTTTTTCTCTTAGCATAAGATTAAACCATAAGTTATTTGATATGAATTATTTTTCTTACCCAGCAGCGTATTAGTTACGATAAACGATAAGATACTTAATATTACATTTTTTATTTTAAATTAATGTAAAAAAAATGAAAAAATAAAAAAATAACACAGATATGACTGAACCAAAATATAAGACCAAAGTAGCTACCTATGTTAGCTACTTTGGTCCTGCAACGGGCAGGGCTATTTAGTAGGCCAAATTAGCTTCCTTATCCAACGACTTTGAATCATCAGAAAAAGTATACCGTAGTCACTGCGTATCACGGCTACTTTGATCAAATGAGTGACAAGTGTCTTAACCAACCCAAAGTCGCTACATAAGATAGCTACTTTGGGCAACCAGGCCTCCTAGGCTTTTCCAGCCTCCGGGGAAGTGCCACGTGTCTGGTCCATAGTAGCTGAGTATCTCAGCAACTATGGTGTCGTGGCAGTGTAATATATTTTTTCAAAGGTGTGACATTCAGATATATTATTCTCACAAACGGGATAATACGGTCAATGTCCCTCATATATGGCAGCAAAAACAAAAATATTAAACCCTTATATATTTAATGACTTTATTACTATTTTCCTATTTATCCATTTACTCAGGCATCAAGTGTCTATGTTCTGAACACACCTTTCATTGGCTGAAAAAATTTATGCTTGTGTTAAATCCCTATTTGTGATGCACTTTCCTTTGACTAGTACAAAGAGAGGATTCAGAGTGAGGCAAATTTATGCAGCCGCCGCAGCATTTCAAAATTTAATAACCAAATATGAGGCCCTCAAAGGTCTATTTAGCATGCGCACTTCCAAAAGGTTTAAATTGAAATGCCAAATTTTATTGCCAAGGCAAAATGTGAAGAAAATCACAGCATCTCAATTTACAGCAATCGAGACTTCAAGGATGGAAGTATCATGAATCACTCCACAGAGATAGCCTCAAGCAACTTCTGGGTTTCTTGACTCACATCCACATTCTCCATCTTCAATCGCCGTTGCATAGAAGAACTGGTCCTACCAGCACCTGCGTAGGTTCTAATCAAGGATTCAAACACCTCCGTCCCTAGAGAATCCACAGATTTCTTCAAGATCTCTAGAAATTCTTCTGCACCATCAACATCCTTCTCTTGCTCAAAATGCCTCATCATAACACCAATTGTCTCTGATGATGGAACCCACTTCTCACCATTCCCTCTACCGATTGATATTGCTTTGCCTAGATAGTCTACTGCCAACTTAAAGTCTCCTTTTTGCAAATGGTAATCCAGAAAGATTTCCCAGGTTTTAACATTAGGCTTAGTTCCCCTCCTCCGAGCGCGCTCCTTGAGCTCTTCAGCCTTCTCAAGCATATCTAATTTCACATATGCCCCTATCAGAGCATTTACAACTCGAATATCATAAGTGGGGCATCGAGATTCCCATTCCCGGAAACATTTTTCTGCTCCTGGGAGATCTTTCAAGTTAACCAACACCTGAATCATATTCAGATAGCTTATGTTTGCAGTTTTAGGAAATGCCAGCCTAAGAGAACGCCAGACTCTATAAACCTCATATATGTTACCTGTTCGCCCATACAATGTTAATAGAAACTGGTAAGCTGAAAGATCTTTGCAAGCATTTCTCTTCTCCAATTCCTTAAGTGCCACTTCTGCCTTCTGAAACATGCCAGCATCAACAAAAATAGATGCTAAGTTGCTATATGTTGTCCAATCCCCAGCAACTCGACCATCCCTCTTCATCTCGTCAATAACCCTTTCAACACCAGAAATATCATTAACAGCAGCAAGAGCTCTCATCCAGACATTATATGTGTAAGAATCTAGCATAATATTGCTAGACTTCATTTCCTGTATGATGGACGGAATCTTATCCGGTTGCCCTACTTTTGTGTATAGAGTCATAAGGCTGTTGTAAGACATGGAACTTAAAGGAAGGCTAAGCTCCTTCATCTTTTCCATGAGACCTTCTGCTTTTTCAGTCATCAATTCCTTGCAGTAACAGTTGAGAAGGGCACCATAACATAGATGATTTTTTGCAGATTCAGGGAGATTAACAAAATAATTTTCAGCAGCAGCAATACCTCGAGCTTTTGCAAGCAGATCAAGATGTATAGCATGGTCACTAACGGTTTTGTTCATGTTCCTCTTAGCCATGGTTTCCGATAGCTGTAACACGAGAAAAAGTGCATATTTCCATGAATAAAAGTTAAGGAAAAATATAGTCTGCTAGTGCTAACTATGAATAAAAGTGCATAATCGACAACACATAATAGAATTACAATCAGCCAAGTCAATTCGTTACTTGAATTTGAAATAATTATTACAAAGAGAAACATCTTCTTCTTCTTCTTCTTCTTTTTTTTTTAAGTAATTTTGATACTCTCATTTTCTTTAAAATTAAGATGAAAATTTTACCAGTCTATTGTGCGTGTGTGTGAATAAGTTGCTTGCAATTCCTATCATTAGTTCACAACCAGGTTCCACGCCTTTCATGCATCCACATTCATAAATCACAACACTTTTACCCAATCTCACTCCCAAGAACTAAAACACGGAAATGGTATATCAAAATGCTAGCAACATCCCATAATAATAATAAAATAATAAGAATAACTGCATACCAGATCCAAACCCAAAGTTACTAACAAAGAAGAATCAAAAGTTAAAACAAGGAATAGATCCATTTTGATCATTAACATGCTCTGTTTCAAAACATTAAGAATTAAACATAACCTTGAGAGCAGGGTGATAGAGCTTGCGGTTGCGAAGCTTCTTGAGGGTATCGCCAACCTCCCATTTGTAAACGCGCTTTCCGCTCGTGATGAATTGGTTGAGCTGCTGACGAACGCTGAGCTGGGAGCTACCATCTTTGAAAAGCTTAAGGTAAAGTGCTTCCTCCAAGTATTTCTTTGATCGCTTCACCACGCTCTTGCTGCGTCCGTATCGTTGCATCACTGACATTTTCGCGAGATTTCAGTTACCGGTTCTTTCTTCGTACTCACAGTCCGAGAAACCAAACCCAAAACCCTAACTGAAGAAGAAGAAGAAGAAGAAAGGATCGGGCTCTGGGAGAGCAGCCCACAAGGCCCAAAATGGGTGGGGCATGAAGGCCCGACTTGGAAACTATGTTTTAAACGCGCCAACGTTACAATTTACAATGAATGCTATTCTGGTCCGATAAGTTTTGTCCCAATTTATGTAGCACCCATGAGGTATGGAAGATGATATTCTGATGTGTTAATTTTAAAAAATATTAAATTTTGAGATATTTTGATATTAAATAATATTTTTAATTTATATTGCGTATATTGTATTAAATATTCAATAATTTAACAAAAAAGCAAAGTTAAACTTATAATACTCATTAATTTTGCAAAGAAACATAAAATATCACAAATATTTATATTAAATTCAATAAAATAGTAATAGTATTCCAACGAATCTAATAGTTAGAACTAAAAATGCAACGCAACCTCTGGAAAAAAAATGTTTAGTTCCTACAACGTGCGTTGGAGTGTCAGAAAATGTCGGAGTATCGAATACGACACGTTGGAGTTTTTGAAGTGTCGGTACTTCATAGATCCCAATCATGCTGATTGCCCAATTTAATTATAATTACGTTATGTTTTTCTTGTCTGAGAGTTTTGTCCCTTATTAATTCATATAATGAATGTGGATGTTGTGCCAGTGTGGATTGAATTTGAAAGAGGGAGTAAAATATTGGAATTTTGAATTAAATTAATAGTATTAATCTATAAAAAAAAAAAATTGCTAACAATTTTATTTTTTAATAGTTAAAATCAAATGTTTGTATAATATATTTTAAGTTTATATGTAATTTAATAGCTTAATTTAGACTTTTAAATCTTTTTATTTTGATTGTTGACGCAAGCCATGATGAAATGTAAAGTCACTTTATCCGGCTAAAGTAAGGAAAAATGGCAAGTCACGCTTCACCTTAAGAAAAGTGCATTTGGAGTTGCACGTACACGGATTGAATATGGAAGGAATTCACCTATAAATATATATCATTTTCTTTAGTTCTAACCATCCTAAACTCAAAGAAAAATATATAGTGTCTTTTGAGTATTTTCTAAGAGTGTGGTGTATTCTTCTAATTCAAGAAAGAGTGACATTCTTCTGTCCTTTTAATTAGAGAGATGTTATAATTTATTTCATTTAATGAAAATATTTTATATTTTTTTCCGTGTTTTTTCCAATTGGGTTTTTCGTGTAAATCTTGTATGTCAATTCAATTAGCATATTTATAGCATGAAGAGACTCTCACTAGGTTTACACTTATGGGTAGGGGTGAAAATTGGCTGAGCTGGGCCAAGCTTTGCCTCGAAAAGCCCAAGCCTACGACACAAATTTTTAATTTGACATGGCTCAAGCCGATTACGAGTCTAACTATTAGCCTGACTTGGCCCATTTATAAAAAAACAAATGGTCTGGCCTAGCCCATTAGCCTATTAATTTTTAACTTCCAAACAGAATAATGAATCAACTTTACAAAATACTCAAATTCTGTTGTTAAACCAAAAATCATAATTTCAACGTCCAAACAGAATCACGAATCACAACAAAACTCATACAATTTGCATTTAAGTCATTTTTAAAAGCAAAATGCTCAAACTAAATAACATATATTTCATCAGATCCAACAAACAAATCCATACTATGTAAATTAAAATAATTACATGAATCCAACAAACACATCATGATGCATATAGTAAGTATAACTTTTACCAAAAATCTTTTAATATATTCATATACACAATTTAACGTGCTGAGATGTTGGTTTCTCCAATATAAGAAATAAAGTTAGATTTCTATTAAAATATAATCGAATATAATTAAGTTATAAATAATTACAATTGATTAAATTTATATATTTTGTTTTTTCTTCAAGGCATACTTGTCCCAAGTATATCTTATTTTTATCACGAATTTTTTCCTTGGTTAACAATAGTATTCTATTTTCTTTTAAATAAATAATTTAATATAGGTCGGCCTGTAGGCTTATAGGCCAGGCCATGTGAAAGTAGGCCTACGGCCTTTTTATTAAACAAGCTTTTTCAAGGCCCAAATTCGGCATATTTTACGAAATATACTAGGTCAGGTCTGGCCTAACGTAGGCCGAGTCGTAGGCCCCTGTGGGCCGGCCCGGCCCAGTTTCACCCCTACTTATGGGTGATAAACGAATCAGAGGCCTTTTAGGGACCTTTGGCTCTACTCGTGAAGGCCTGAGTTTATATGCCTAAAATTGGTTGTTGGAAACAGCTTTGGACTTGTATAAGAGCTCGTTTAATAAAAAGACCTCAGGCTCCAATTCAAAAACTCAGTCTTAGAGCCTCTTAGGCTGGCCTAGTATATTACTTTTTATTTTATATTTTTTATCCTACTTGTAATAGCTCTTTCTCTCTCCTCAATCCATTTCACCTCATTTTATTGATTAAATAGACTTTTTGAATGATTTTGTTTTATATTATGATGTTTGAATATACATTGAATTTATGAATATTTATGGAATTACTAGTGCTGTAGATTGTATATTCTATTTGGATAAATTTGTGATGTCTTATTTTTTAAAACAGGCTAAATTAGGCTTTTATTTTTTGTAAATAAGTCAGGCCACAAGCCGATAATTATATTCATAACAGGTAACAGGCTTGGTCAGGCTGACACATTTAAACACAGACTTAGCCTTTTAAAACCAAAACTCGGCTCAATTCGGCTCGACCCATTAACACCCCTATTTACACTTACCTGGCCAATAAGTGTGGTTAATCAGAGATATCAAAATTAGTTGTAGCCCGCAGTCTAGTCCGTAAATCCCTATATTTGGCCCTAACCCCTAAATTCCTATTATTTAGCGGGCTGGGTTGGGCCTTATCCGCGGCCCAAACTTTTTCCTTCTCAAATTTTCTATTATTTAAAAGAATAAAAAATACATAAATTTAAATATTTATAAATATAAAAAATTATAAACATAATATATTAATACAAAAATATTTTTTATATATAATTCTATAGAATATAGGGACAATTATACTTATCACCACGTAAGTTTACCATCCTTACAACCAATCTTACCACCGTTAGATTAGAATTAAATCTAACGATTCATAATCACCCCTTATAATCCTAATTTTTACTCTCTCGCATCCCTCTCTGGCTCTCTCTCTAGGCTTCCATTGCCACTCTATCTCTAGGTTTAGGAATCACCTCTCTTCATCATTACAACGCTTTGATCTTCAGTTCCAACAAAAATATCTACTAAGGCAAATAATCGGACACGTGAGTCAATTCTTTCCATTGTTGCAAATAGGTTTGGGAAATCGTGATTCTTTTGAAATAATTCACTATATATGCACGCTTTCATCCACATGTACATTATTAATAATTCATTACTTTATAGAAATTCATTCATTAAACATATATAAAAACAATTCATTATATATAAACAATTCATTATTATATGTACGCTGATTCGCTATTCTTCCATTCCTGTGTTTTTGTCTGTATAATACCATAATTTTTATTCTTTAATATTTACATGTTATTTCAATGAAGGTCAACATGGAAGATTATCCATTCGATTGTATTAACTTCAGTGATGACTACATGTCAAATGAAATGGAATATGATGGAGTGGGAAATGACATGCCTGATGAAATGGAAGATGGCAAATCGAATGATTTGCCTAATGATATGTCGAATGTCAATCCATTGTCACCAATAAAGAGTACTAATTGTTCCATTGAGATTGGAATGGAATTACCTGAACAAAAGGATGTAGTAGAATTATATACAGTATTTGGTATGATAAGAGGTTTTGGAATCCCGGGACAAACATCCAAGGACAACTACGTAAAGCTAACATGTATTAGAGAGGGTCATCCACAACCCAAAAAAAGGAGAAATGTCGGCATAAGATTGTTAAAGAGTAAATCAATGAGAACTGTGGAACCAATGCAGAACATAAAGTCTAGAATTTTGATGATAACAAACAAAGCATGAAAGGAAAGCTTCAAGTTGCAACAATAAAAAAGAAACAAACATCCAACAATCAAGAAGTCCTTCAATATTCAAGCTTTAAGAGAAGAATCTAAGTCCAAGGATTATCAAGTAATATACTTTAGGACTTAGAATTAACTGTGAGGGTAACTGACTTCTTGCATGAATAAGCTCAAACGTATATTTGTTAAAATGCATGCATTAAATTATCATTTGATTACACAAAGGATTTATAGCATTACGCATTTATAAAAACATGTTTGAAAAGGTTTTAGAATATTTTTAAACGTATTCGCAACCTTTCTAAAAGGTTGGGAATCGATTCCTTCCCACTCATCTGAAAGATTGGGAATCGATTCTCACTCATTGGGAATCGATTCCTACTGCACCAGAGGACGAAAATAATGGCTATAAACGGCTAGTTTTGCAAAAATGAGTGTGCAAAGGGTCATGAGGGCCTTCTATAAATAGTGACCATTGTTCCCCTTGATGGGACACATTTCTTGATCATAATTCTTGCTTTATTTCACATCATTTACTTACTTTCAATCATCTTGATCATAAATCATATTTGAGCTTTATTCTTGTGAGAGTGTCAACAACCATTGTTCTTCAACTTGTATTATTTGTACTTTGAGAGTACTTAGCCATTGTTAAACACCTTCATTTGATTTCTTGAATAGTTAGGGGAGTAAACCCTATACACTTGAGAGGTAACCAAATTCCTAAAAAAAATTGAAGTGAAAAATTGTAAGGCATCAAGAGCCCGAAGTCTTGAAAGGTTGTAGTGGTTTATCAAGCACCATCAAGCTTGATAGTTAGTGAAAAGAATTGATCGAGCGGCTTCAGTCTGGACGTAGGTCACGGTGGTGGTGACCGAACCAAGATACATCTAGTTTGCAATTTCTCTAATCTTAACCTCTTTATTTAAGTATTGAAATTGCATTTTAGATTGTCTTTATATATTCGCTTGCTTACTTTGTTGGTCACTACACTCACTCTCACACTTAGATTTTTCCTTATTAAATCACTTTATTGAAGAAATAGTCTTTAAAATATCAAAGGAGGCACTTTGCGAAAATATTTTGTAAAACTCAATTCACCCCCTCTTGAGTATTGAAGCCACTTGTCCAACAAGTGGTATCAGAACTTGAACTCTTGTGTAAAGAGCTTAACCGCTTCAAGAGAAGGGATGGCTTCTTTGAACCATGATATACCCCTTGAGGATGGCTTCTTTGAACCATGATATACCCCTCGAGGGATCTTCTAGTACTAGACCTCCATTTCTCAATGGCGTCGATTATTCTTATTGGAAGAGTCGGATGAAAATATTTCTTCAATCTAATGATTTAAGAGTATGGAATGTAGTTGAAAAAGGGTATACACCACCTACTATAAATAATTACACCGAAGATATAGATAATTACACCGAAGATGAAATTAAGAAAGCAAATTGGAATGCTAAAGCTCAAAACTTGATCATAAATGCCTTAGGTCATGATGAATACTTTCGTGTTTCAAATTGTAAGAATGCTAAGGAAATGTGGGATATTCTTCAAATAACCCATGAAGGAACTAGTGATGTTAAATTTACAAAATTAAATACACTCACTAGAGAATTTGAAATGTTTGAGATTAATGAAAATGAAAGTATTCAAAGTATGAAAAAGAGATTCACACACCTTGTCACTCATCTAAATGCTTTAGATAAATCTTTTACTAACGTTGAGTTAATTGCTAAGGTGATGAGAAGTGTGCACAATAGGGAATGGCAACCCAAGTTGACGGCTATAACGAAATCAAAAGATTTGAAAACCATGGATCTTGCAACCTTGTTCGGAAAACTTCAAGAGTATGAAATGGAGCTAAGTAGGATAACCTTGAAGGTACAAGCCATCAAGAAAAGTAAGGGAATTGCCTTAAAAACCTCAACACCAAGCAAAGAGAAGAATGAGGAAAAAGAAAATAGAGATTCCGAAAGTGATCTTGATGAAGATGAGATGAGTCTCTTCGTGAAGAATTATGGAAAAAAATTTAAGAAATTTTTTTCAAGGAGACCCGCATTTCCTCCTAGAAGAAGATCTTTAGATGAAGGATCCTCATAACTCACCATCACTTGCTATGAATGTGAAAAAACCGGTCACTACAAATCGGATTGTCCAAACATTCAAAAGAAAGACAAATATGAAAAGAAGCAAGGCAAGGATAGAAAGAATTTCAAGAAGGTTTATCTTGCTTGGGATGACAAATCTAGTTCTTCTGATGATGGCTCCAAGGAAGAAACAAACCTATGTTTCATGCAAGATGAGAGACCACCGGAGAAATCAAGCAAAGGAACTCAACATATATGTCTTATGGAAAATGAGGACAAAAATGAATCTGAAAGCGAGGTAAACTCATCTTGCTCTACTATTTCGCCTTCATATGATGAGTTGTCTGAAATGTTTCAAGAAATGCATAATGAAACACTAGAACATGTTAAAACTCTTTGAGCATCGATTGGTGTGGTTAATAGTAGGGGTGGCAATTACGTGAATTTCTAATTACGTGACCGATTGGTGTGGTTAATAGTAGGGGTGGCAATTCGTGTCAACCCGACCCGACCCGAATTTCACAAAACCTCAACCCGAACACGACCCGATTAATTATTCGTGTCAAAATTCTCAACCCGAACACGACCCGCTTATTTTACGGGTTGACACGACACGACACGAATAACCTTATAATGTAATCATGACCCATTATTACACATGTTAACACGACTCGACCCGACCCGATCTGACACGAGTTTTAGAATACTCACATCCAAAACTTGTATTTAGGCACTGATTTTACATCCAATAAAAGCATATACATCCAATAAAGTCACTGCTGAGTGAAAAGGGTTGTTTGAATATTTTTTTTATACCACTCACTAAAATGACTATAATAACCTTATACAAAAACTATTTGCGGGTCAGAGCAGGTTGACCCGAACCTGACACGAATTTTTTTGTGTTATTTTTCTTCAACCAGAACACGACCCGAACAGTAAACAGGTTGACCCAAACACGAAAATTTCGTGTCGGGTCTGGGTCGGGTTAGCGGGTCGTGTCAGAAATTGCCACCCCTAGTTAATAGTATCTTAGAATTCCTATTTCTCCCAACTCTATTTTAACTCTATGATATTCTATTACCTAACAATTGTGTGGCATAATGTATATATGTAAATTGGTATAAATTTACGTACTTACAAACTTACAATTGTCTGCGCTTCCGATTTGTCACTTCAAACTTTCAAGAGAAAATGTTAAAACGAAGGTAAATGACAAAACAGACGACATGTCGTTTAGTTTCCTTAATGTTCCTCAAGTCGATTAATTGTTTATTGGTATTGGGACGGCGTCGTTGGGTCACACTTTGCACTTGTTCTTTGGAGCTTCAACACCCCGCACCCTGAATCGAACGTCTTGATAAATTGCAACTATAGAAAAGGTATAATTACTACAAACAAAACACGAAGCTACAATCCGTTACTGCAGAAACAGAATGGTTTAGCTTCAAACATGGCTCGATGAACCTAGTGTTTTCCCACATCTTCTTCTTCTTCGCAACACTGATCAGATCTTGATCCATTTCTGTTTCGGATCCGATCCGATCTAGGCTCGGAACCACGCTCCAATGGCAGGGGCAGCCTCTGCTCTGTTCCTACTCGACATCAAAGGCCGTGTTCTCATTTGGCGCGACTACCGTGGCGATGTAACCGCCGTCGAAGCCGAACGCTTCTTCACCAAGCTCATCGAGAAAGAGGTTCATTTCTGAATTCAAATTAGCATGAGTAACGCCTCAATTTTCTGAACTTTGTTTCCGATGCCGTTTTGATCAATATTAATATTTCTTTTTCTTCAATTTCTGCTTATTTTTTCATGCAATTATTAATCTGTGCACCAAAGCTTGCTGAATTTCGTGCTAATAGTGGGGGAATCGGAATGGAAAATTTCGATTATTGTTTGCGAGTCCTTTAGCGTTTTAGTTTGGGAAGATGAATTGTGAAGTTTGTTTCGAAATTGTGCCAGGGTGATCCGCAGTCTCAAGATCCAGTTGTATATGATAATGGCGTGACCTACATGTTTATACAGCATATCAATGTTTACCTCATGATAGCAACCAGACAAAACTGCAATGCCGCTAGTCTCCTTTTCTTCCTGCATCGTATAGTTGATGTAAGCGTTGTTGGTAATTATGGTTATGAATATTTTGAATTGAAAACTTGTATAGATTTTGCGTATAATGATTGATTGGAATGATCGTTGTCTTTGTGGCAGGTGTTTAAGCATTATTTTGAAGAATTGGAAGAGGAATCTCTTAGGGATAACTTTGTTGTTGTGGTAAAATGCCATTGTATCTTTGTTATCAGTTGCATTAATTCATTAAGGTCTATCATTCATTTAGGCAAAATTCTGATTTCTTGTGTCCTTGGCAGTACGAACTACTTGATGAAATTATGGACTTTGGATATCCCCAATACACCGAGGCAAAGATTCTTAGTGAATTTATCAAGACAGATGCTTATAGAATGGAAGTTACACAGAGACCTCCCATGGCTGTAACAAATGCTGTATCCTGGCGCAGTGAAGGGATAAACTACAAGAAAAATGAGGTGACCATTAGAAGGGCGAAGATGTATCACTTTGTCTTGAATCTGATGGTCTAAGCAACCATTTAATACTCTTCTTTTCCTTTATTTTTACAGGTTTTCTTGGATGTGGTGGAGAGTGTTAACATACTTGTCAATAGCAATGGACAAATAATTAGGTCTGATGTTGTTGGGGCATTGAAGATGAGAACGTATTTGAGGTTTGTCTTCTACTTTACTTTCTTTGAGAACTATTGAATTTCAAGCTATTGAGATAGGCTACTAGTTTACTGGGTTAGCATTTAGCAATATGGTTGACGTAGGTTTTTTCTTGAGGGGGCAGGGGGATAGATAAGATTTTATTAAGAGTGAAAATTGAAGAAGAATGCAGAATAGGAGGATCAGGAATTTCCTTAACAGGAAAAAAAAATGAAGAAAACCAAACAAATAGCATCTCAAAAGAGCTCTTACATCTCTCTAAATATCTGACATAGAAACTCCCTTAGAAAACCATATGTATAAACTAACATATAAAGCAGGGAAAACTATTCTTTTTCAAAGAATCACTGGTTGAGAATTCTAGCATTTCCAATGCACTGCATGCCTATGAATAGATCATAATCTTCACGACACCTTATCCTACTTTCTCGTCCCAAAACCCTAATGCTAATAGATCATTGGTAACTTCTAAACTTTGGTAACACATAAACATATGGAGACAAAGTCTTATGCTAATCCACCTATAACAGATCGTTAATATTAATCTTATTTACTACACTTTTTACTAATAAAAACCTTAACTTCAGAGGGAGCTTTGAGCTTCCAAAAAGAAATCGGATGGGATGTATTAATTGTGCAAAAATTTTCCGAGGTTTTATAGTGGAATTTGCTTGTAAGTTACTACAAACTTGTAATATTTAATTTTCAGTCTAGAATGTGTTGGACTCGTATTCTTCTTCCCTGATATTTGGTTTTGGTGGAGAAAATGTAGTTTTATCAATATTGAAATTGTTGATTCTACAATTGAGAAAATCAACAATGCTAATGTTGTTGATATGCACTCTATCCAAAAAAAAGGTGTTGGTATGTGATGGAACCCAAAATGAACACACTGATTTTATTGCTTCAATGGAGGCATAGCCTCTTTTTACTAACACCAATTGACACTAAAGACCCCTAGCTCACCCTTAGAACCAACAAGCCTAGGCTCCAAGAGATCCTATTTCCCTAATATTTACTCATACATGCATACCCCACTCCACTCATTCCCTTTAGAAAAATTCCCTAGCTAACTAACTCACTCATCACTTTCAGGCCGATCAATACCCCCTCCAAAACTCACATTATCCTCAAGGTGAAGAACGAGGATAGGTGATGTGAGAGGACTTCCACCCGAGTGTCATTGTTTGAAGCATCTTGACCACATCGATAGCTTCAATTCATAAGTCATATAAATGGCTAGAGATAAATGGAATGCCTTAAGAGTCACCATTGGCCGAATGGGCCGTGTTTTCCCATCCACCAATTGCCTAATTACGAGTCAAGGCTGCTCTAGTGTCAATCCCACCACCACGACCTGTTCCCACCTTCAATTTGTCCACCCACTGATCCTACTTGACCCCAAACAACCTCCTTTTCTTATGCTCTTCTGGTCAAAGTTATCATCTGACCTAATCATCAACAAAACACATCCTCACGTCTTTGCGAATTTCTCCTCGCAAACCATTCAGTAATGTTGCTTCTGTCACTTCATCATCAGCATGGTGAAGAGGAAGAACAACATCTCAAATTGTTTGCCCCCAATCTAGCTCTATAAATGGAACCTTTGTAACAAAGCGATAGTTTTAAATAGCGGGTAGCGGCCGACCCCAAAAAAGCTATAGCGGTATAACGGGTAGCGGTAAAGCCGCTACTGTGAAGTCTATATAAATACTTATAATAAATTATACCAGATATATAAATGCTATAAGATAAGAAATCACCCAAAATTGGAGGAAATGAGGAATGAAAAGTATGATACTACACATTCAAAACAAAGATTAAAGGAACATAAAGGAAGCAACATATTAGTTCATTGAAGGAAACTAAATAACATTCTAGGAACATAAAGGATCCAAGTAGAGTCAAATACAAATTTTCAATGGCTCTATCAAAGTCAAGAAGGAAAAGAACTAATCAGAATCATCATCAAACATTTCTTCAAAGTCTTGTTCTTCTCCACCCTCACTTTCTTCACTAGTATTAAATTTTTTAGATCTGTTCATTCTCATCTTCTATTTCTTCGTTATCACCTTCTTCAATCTGTTCAACCCTTATTCCCTTAGAGCTTGATGGCATAGAGGCAGCTTCCTTCCTGAATCTAGTATGCTGCCTAGTGTAAGTTATAGGCTCATTAGCCCCAGTTACATTAGCAATATCTCCCCAATTCAATGTATCATCATAAAAAACGAACTCACTTTCTGCATCTTACCCACTTCTCCCACCAACATTCATTACTTTCATCAATGTCTTTTAGGACAATGGGATCAACCAAATCACGACTCTCAAAACGTTCTTTAAGAGCTTGATTATACTTAATAAAGACTAAGTCTTGCAACCTTTGATGCTCAAGCCTGCTTCTCTTCTTAGAATGAATCTAGTTTACAATTTCCAATAAAGAATATTAGTTTCACAATCATGGTATAAACCCTACAAACAAAAATCATTTAACAAATACTTACATGCTCAAAAGTACTCCAATTACGCTCACATCCTGATGAGCTACAAGTTAAGCCCAACACTCTAACAACAAGGTTTCGCAAATTCGGAACATGTGCTCCATACGACTTCCACCATTGAGCTGTAATGCAAATTGCAACTTGTTAACATTACAACTTGTTAAATAAAAGCTTAAAGTGATCAAATACGTGTGCTTTTACTTACCAGAAGTGATTTTATTCCTTTGTCTTATTGCTGTATTCATACCAATAAGGCCTTTTGCACTCCTATATTTTTCCATTTGTCCATGTATCTTGTCCACCTGATCCATATTTGCACTTAGCTTGTCAATGCATTTATATAGTCCAACTATCAATTCAGCATCATCATCAATTTTTGGATTGGCATAAAAGTATTCAGGGTTCAGATAATGGCCTGCAAAGCATGTAATGGATGATGAAATTGGCAGTCCCATCTTCTATCAATTATAGCAAAAACATCCTTGTATTTATCTTCATTTCCATTGAAAGATTTTTGAATTGCTTCCTTGGCCATATCCAATGCTTCAATATATATCCCATTGCGGGCCTTCTTTCATTATCAACAAGTCTAAGCATCCGCACAAGAGGCCTCATAACCTTTAAAGAATGAATAACATCATTCCAAAATGATGGCATAAGTACAGTGTCAGTCGCACTTTTTCCCTTAGGGTCTTTTGATGTATTTGATTTCAGCCAATGATCTGATGTGAGCATCTTTCTAAGATTATTTTTTTGCTTATGAAGCCTTTGCAATGTGAGGAAAATTGTACTTTTTGGAAAAGTACATGCCGAAACAAATTACACCAGTGGAAGTTTACAACAAATAATGGGCATGCATTCAAGAGGCATTCTCTTCGTACACTTCTCTACTTCTTCTACTTAACTCCTATCCTCCTAGATCTCCCACAATCTTCTTTTATAACCTCCTAATCCCCTATAGTTATAGCCCACTGCCTTATCCCGTTTTCCTACTACCATACAGTAATTGCATCCTACTCCACTCATTATGGACGGTTTATACAAGCAGCTGAGAGGGTTTGGCTCCCCTATGGTTCCTCCTAGAGTAAACTCTCATGATGAGGGGTTTTGAGTTCCCAACAGATCCAATAAAGTTTTAAGTGGGTTGTCGATTGCCTAACCCTCATCTTTTATCCAGGCTTAGGACCGGTCATGTAAAGATTTGCAAAAAGCACAACATAGGCGAAGTTATAACTTATAAGGATAGTCAAGCACCACTAACAAAAAATAATATGAATCGTAGTGTATATAGATAATAAGGATTTAAATCACAAATGTATTTCGATGCTTTTGCTCAGTATTCAATAAAATGTTAATGAACAAACTCCCAATTATTGGAAACAATTTCTTTCAGGAAATCCTTCTTCAAGGAATCTCATGGTTATAAGAACTCCTTTTCTTTGAAACCATATATTATTAAAATCACTTTCTTATAGGAAGATTCTCAGGCTTTACATGAAGAACAAATAAATCTCCACCATTTGTTAATGTGCTTAGTAATAAATTGTGAAGTTAAGTTTCTTAACTTTGATAACCATTCATCATTCTTTGCAATGGCAATGTTTCCTATTCTTACATTGTGCAAAATCTTCACTGTTTGTTGAAGTTGTCACTTGGCTATTAAGTGAAACACCAACTTTTAAATCAAGTCATGACACCTAGAATCTTCCTAGAAGAAGCATGGATGCACTTTGCTTTTTTTTTTTTTCATTATTTTGTACACAATAGATAGGAAGCATGGTATGCTTGTAATTGTTGAGATTTATAGTCCCACATTGGTTGTATGAGCAACTAATGTGGAGTTTATAAGGCTTTGGGCACTCCCACCCTTTGAGCTAGCTTTTGGGGTGGTGTATCTCAAAGTTCTTTACATGGTATCAGAGCGGGTTCGTTCCTACCCTAATTCAAATCTGAAATAACCATCCAAACACTTCCATCACCGTCAAACACCTCCTAAACACCGCCTTGAATCTGTCCAACACAGAAACCTAGTTTACTTACCTCCGATCAAAAAAGTGAGGTGACCATTCGACTCAGAAGGATCCGACGAGTCGACCGCCGCTGGACCCATCGCCGTCAGCCGCTGCACGCGCCACCACGCGCCGCCTTCCAGACGTTTTTTTTCCGTCGCGACTTGCACACACCTTCTCGCCGGCTTCTCCCCTTCCTGTTCCAGAGGTCAGATCAAAAGTTTACAAAACTTGATTTTTCATCAACGGTCAACCCTCTTTTTATTCATGGCTTCCTCAAAACACTCTTTTTATTACCACGAGCAACCTCCTAAGGCCACTAGTCATGTGGTCCAGCAAGGTACAACTTTCCATGTTGATAGTCAAAATCATTGGATCCTTGATTCTGGAGCCTCTGATCATATGACAGGTAATCTTGGCTTGTTTTGTTCATACACTCCATATTCTGAACCTTCTCGGGTCAAGATCGCCGATGGCAGTTTTTCCCAGATTGCGGGACACGGAACCATTAAACTTTCTGAGCTGATTACTTTGACATCAGTTCTTTATGTTCCTTCTCTGACTTGTAATCTCATTTCCATTAGCAAGCTCACCTCTGAGTTGCATTGCTTTGCTAAATTCTTTCCACATGGTTGTGTTTTTCAGGAACAGGACTCGGAGAGGATGATTGGCAGTGCTAGAGAGGATGGTGGACTTTACTACTTTGAGGAGGATGTGACTCATGAAGCTGTTTTCGTAGAAAAAAACTCTATGTTTCCTTTTGATTCATGTAATGATGTTATGCTGTGGCATCGTAGGCTAGGCCATCCAAATTTTATTTATCTTCAGAAGTTGTTGCCAAACTTATTTATTAATAAAAGTCCAAGTTTGTTTTCTTGTGATATTTGTCAACTTGCCAAGCATACTTGTGCTCATTATCCTTCTAAAGTTCACCATGACTCTTCTCCATTTTCCTTAATTCATAGCGACATATGGGGTCCAGCCCGTGTTAAAAATATTTCAGGTACTCGATGGTTCATTACCTTCATTGATGACCATTCTCGAGTTTGTTGGGTGTATCTTCTAAAGGATAAGTCCGATGCTGCATCCGTGTTTAAAAAATTTCATGCCATGGTTCAAACCCAATTCCAAGTTGCTATACAAATTCTTCGTACAGATAATGGCAAAGAGTATTTTAACTCTATTCTTGGAGAATATCTTTCCCAACATGGCATCCTTCACCAAAGCTCGTGTCCTGACACACCCCAACAAAACGGAGTTGCGGAAAGAAAAAACCGACATCTCCTTGAAGTTGCTCGGGCTCTTATGTTTACCACGAGTGTTCCTAAATATCTTTGGGGAGAGGCAGTTCTCACTGCCTCGTATCTGATAAATCGAATGCCATCTCGCATTCTGAAATTTCAGTCTCCTCTTTCTAGTCTTGTTCGTATCTTCCCTTCCTTCCGAGGTGTCTCCTCCTTACCTCTCAAGTTATTTGGTTGTGTTGTATTTGTCCATATTCCCTCCCATCAACGGTCTAAGCTTGATCCTAAGTCTCTCCAGTGTGTCTTTATTGGTTATTCTCCTACTCAACGTGGCTATAAGTGTTATTCACCCTCTCTTCGTAAGGTCTTTGTCTCTATGGATGTCACTTTTTCTGAGAATGACCCTTTCTTCCCCTCGACTTCTCTTCAGGGGGAGTCTATAGGAGTAGATGAAGATCAGTCATGGGAACCTATTAATGCCACAGTATTACCTCTACTTTTGGAAACAGGGGGAGCTACAGAATCCTCACCATCAGGAGCCTCCTCAACATGGGGACAAGTTTATAGCAGGCGAAAGCCTCCTCAAAGTGTGAATAACCCAGAGCCTCTACACTGCCAGGATTCTGAACCATGTTCTAGTTCCAGCACCCCAATACTTGAGTGTCATGGTGAAAATGATCTACACTTGCCCATTGCTCTCAGAAAAGGTACTCGATCTTGTACTACTCATCCTATTTCTAATCATATTTCATATGGAAAGTTGTCCCCAGGGTTTCGTGCTTTCAATACTATGTTGGATAGTACAAAGATACCGAGAAATATACATGAGGCTCTCAATGATAAAAAATGGAGGGATGCTGTCTTTGAAGAAATGAATGCTTTAGAAAGAAATGGAACTTGGGAGATAGTGACCCTACCCAAAGGAAAAAAGGCAGTAGGATGCAAATGGGTGTTTACAATAAAATTCAATGCAGATAATAGCATCAACAGATACAAGGCAAGATTGGTTGCAAAGGGTTTCACTCAGACTCATGGGATAGATTATCATGAGACTTTTGCTCCGGTTGCTAAAGTCAATACCATCCGAGTTCTCTTATCTCTTGCTGCCAATCTAGATTGGCCTCTGCAACAGTTAGATGTGAAGAATGCATTCCTAAATGGTGACTTACATGAAGAAGTCTATATGGATCCTCCACCTGGTTTTGAAAGGGGAAATGAATCAGTGTGTAAACTAAAAAAGTCTCTATATGGATTGAAACAGTCTCCCAGAGAATGGTTCGACAAATTCACACAAGCAGTCAAAAGAAGAGGCTTCATTCAAGCACAGACTGATCATACTCTCTTCCACAAACACTCTAAGGATGGTAAAATTGCTATTCTTATTGTATATGTAGATGATATAATTCTTACAGGTGATGATATTGAGGAATTGAACACCTTGAAGAAATTTCTAGCAGCTCAATTTGAACTCAAAGACCTTGGCACTCTCAAATATTTCCTTGGTATGGAAGTTGCTAGGAGCAAAACAGGCATCACTCTAACACAAAAGAAATATGTTCTAGATCTTTTGTTGGAAACAGGAATGTTAGGGTGTAAACCTGCTAAGACACCTGTGGAACCTAATACCAAGTTAGGTATTGAAGATGGGAATGAGGTGGATAAAGAACAATATCAGCGATTGGTTGGTAAACTAATCTACTTATCTCATACGCGTCCTGACATTGCCTTTGCGGTGAGTATGATTAGTCAATTCATGCACTCACCCAAGGAGAAGCATCTTAGTGCAGTCTATAGGGTGCTTAGATACCTCAAGAATACTCCAGGAAGAGGATTATTCTTTAAAAAGGGGTATAAAAGGACAATTGAAATCTACACTGATGCAGATTGGGCAGGCTCATCAGTAGACAGAAGATCTACCTCAGGCTATTGCACCTATGTGTGGGGAAATCTTGTTACTTGGAGAAGCAAAAAGCAAACAGTGGTTGCAAGAAGTAGTGCTGAAGCAGAATTTCGAGCTTTAGCTCATGGAGTTTGTGAAGGAATCTGGTTAAGAAGACTTCTTCAAGAGTTGAAGATTTCATATTCCCTACCAATAAAACTATATTGTGACAACAAGGCAGCTGTTAGCATTGCTCAAAATCCTGTGCATCATGATCGAACAAAGCACGTGGAAGTTGATCGTCACTTCATCAAAGAAAAATTAGATGATGGAAGTGTGCATTTGATATATGTTCCAACCAAAGAGCAAACGGCAGATGTCCTTACCAAGGGCCTACACCGTCCAGCATTCGAAGACTTGATTGGCAAGTTGGGAATGATCAATATTTACCTCCCAACTTGAGGGGGAGTGTAGAAAATTAGAATTCAAACATGTTTCCGTTTTTATTTCCTATTAATTAGGATTGATTATGATTGATTAGGATTGATTATGATTGATTAGAATTGATTGTGATTAGGATTGTGATAGGATTGATTAGTCATCGCTTAGTCATTCTTAGCGATTCTTTCTTGTATAAATACTCACTCATGTAATTTATTCAATATCAATATACAAAAACTTCTTAATATGGTATCAGAGCCTCGCCGCCGCCCACTTTCTCTTGTGGACTTTCTTAGCACAGGTTGGCTGGGCCTGTTGCATCTTCCACTCTTCAAGCCCAATGGGCTCTCGTGTGAGGGGGCGTGTTGAGATTTATAGTCCCACATTGGTTGTATGAGCAACTAATGTGGAGTTTATAAGGCTTTGGGCACTCCCACCCTTTGAGCTAGCTTTTGGGGTGGTGTATCTCAAAGTTCTTTACAGTAATAAATGCAAAGACTAATTAAAAAGCATTTTTCTAGCGAGGATATGGTAAATGGTGCTCTTGTTCATAGAGCATGCCAAACTAACATTTTTTGCTTGTGTGAAAGTCAAGCTTTCAATAAAGGCTTCTTCAATCATAATGGATTTTTGTCAATTTTTAGGGATATCACAAATGCAGTGTTTGGGGATGATATTTGTTATTTTTTATATCAATTTATGAAATTACTATGTAACTGTAAATTGGGAATTGGGGTTTGTAGTGGGGATTTTAGGGATAAATTATCGGTAATTTTTGAATTTAGGTTTAGTTTGGCTCTATTTCCTATTCTAAATTAGGATTACCTGAGTCTTAAGTTTGGGTTGCTTGTCTTAATAGATTTAGAATTCTTGGTATCGCCAATATAAGCCATACTATCTTCTCCCTTACTCTTCTATCACTATTTGATGGATACCTCAGCTCAGCCCTGCTAGTTCATTTCAACTATAGGAATGATTTCTTCAGCTGTTCAGCGATTTCAGTGGGACTTAGCCCATTTCTGAAGAATAGAGTTCAGTTTCAAGTAACATTACAGCTAGTTTCTTTAAAATTGATTGCTCCATCCAACGTGTTGGTTTATGGACTAGTACTATGCTCAGATTGCTTCATTCATTTAGTACTTTAGAAGCTTTCATTAGGAGTTGGTGCTAAACATTTCACCATTAGATATATTGTAGATAGATCCAACCACTTTACCCATTGCACCCTACTTTTACAGTTGATAGTGGTCTGGAAGACTGTACATTTGGTTTGAAGTATCTATTAATTTAATCAACTTTTGTGATTGAGTGTTTATCTGAAAACTCTAATATACCATTTATGGCATGTATAATGCAGTGGTATGCCTGAATGTAAACTTGGCTTAAATGATAGAGTATTATTAGAGGCACAAGGTAGAGCAACCAAGGGAAAAGCAATTGACTTGGAGGACATCAAATTTCATCAGTATGTAAGCTTGACTCTTTTTCCTATATTAACTGATTGGTAATTTTGGGTGCAAATTTAAGCATGTTTATATCTATTCTTGACTCTAGTTTTCAAATTATGTGCTGACACTTGACAAAGGTGTGTGCGTTTGGCCCGATTTGAGAACGATCGAACGATTTCCTTTATCCCGCCAGATGGATCATTTGATTTGATGACATATAGGCTCAGCACTCAGGTTCATCTTCCTCTCTGGATATGAAATATATTTCTGGTTGAGTGTGACATACATATATATACATGCATAAATACATACACATTCTTAAAAAAAATTCCAAAGTCTGTTGATTCTACTATCTTTGTTTCCAGGTTAAGCCTTTATTATGGGTGGAAGCACAAGTTGAAAAGCATTCGAAAAGTCGGATTGAGATTATGGTAAAAGCTAGGAGTCAGTTTAAGGAACGTAGGTAAACTGATATTGCTTTTTTCTCTTATATCTGGTCCTTTTTTCACCGCTTTTCCTCGATGGAAGACTGGAGAACTGCTTATCTTCAATTTATGTACTAATTCCAAGTTGTTTGCTCTAGATTTTATATCACCCTATCTGTCTTTACTTCCCCAACTACTCATAGAAATTAATTTTACAGCACTGCCACAAACGTAGAGATTGAGTTGCCTGTGCCTGTTGATGCTACCAATCCAAATGTTCGGACCTCAATGGGAACTGCATCATATGCTCCTGAAAAAGATGCATTACTCTGGAAAATAAGATCCTTTCCTGGAGGCAAGGTATTAGTTCACTTGGAAGTGGCTAATAACACCCATAATTGATACCTTAACTTTGATTATGAATTAATGGATTTGGTTCTCTTGTTTGATCACAGGAGTACATGTTAAGAGCAGAGTTTCATCTTCCCAGTATAACAGACGAGGAAGCAACTCCCGAGAGAAAAGCTCCTATACGTGTAAAATTTGAGATACCATATTTTACTGTATCTGGGATACAGGTATGGCTATATGTGCAGAAAAATTTCTTAATATTTTGAAAATTTTTAAGCCGGTCTGTGTCTCTGTCTGATTAAAAGATGAATATTTCCTGTATTGTATATCTTTCATTCACTCCTTCCCTTTCTTTACTCTCTGTTGGTGTCTCACCTATCATTTTGATTATTTCTTGAGAGCTGCAGTAATCATTCCAGTGAACTAGATGAATCTTTTATAGTTCCAATTTGTTTTCAAGTTGAGCTGATATTCAGTTCGAACATAGTGTTATAGATTGTGATATTAAATTAGAAAAGAATTACTAATGGGAAAAAAAAATTTAACATCGTAAATGGATCTGAAATTAATATATACATAATTTTATGATTTTTCAATGATTAATGTTTTTGTGTAGTAGCAATATGAAATGCACAAGACTAGGTCATCTGAATGAAACATCAGCATACACATGATATAATGTTGTAATCATTGTTAAGTTTACCATATATAGCGATGTTCAGTTAAATGAGGCTTTGATTGCTTCAATCAAGATGCTAATTGACATGTAAATGTTTTGTTTTGTAGGTAAGATATTTGAAGATCATTGAGAAAAGTGGGTATCAGGCTCTTCCATGGGTGAGATACATAACAATGGCTGGAGAGTATGAGCTGAGGCTTATTTGAGATATGTACCCTCGTTTGGTATTTGAAATCCACCAAATAATTGTATCATTCAGTGATCAAAGCTGGTGGATGGCGGAGGGAGTTTTGCACGGAATTATTAGAATTTATTTGGCCAACCACAGCAGATTATAAGTTGCTCATTGTCTTGAAATTTGGTGTCAACTGAAAATCATGAATTGGGAAGTGTAAGCCAATACTCTAGTAAGTCCCTACGGTCCAATCTGTTTTGATTAAGAAAATGATTGATTCTCTTTTTTACTTTTTAGGCCCCTCTTTGTAATCACAATCTCTCCATCTTTTTCCACTGTCTTCAGAGTGTAATTTGATTTACATTTTAAAAAGAATTCTTGGCTTTTGTATTACTAAGTTAATGACTTCGAGAGACAAATTATAGAGAGGGAAATGATTGTGCTGTGCCACAACCCGTGTCTGAACGATAAACAATAGATGTATTTTTAACTATATATTCATACAGCATTACAGGTCAATTGCAGAAAAGCATAGTTGTGTTTTCTCTTCCGGGTGTATAAGGTTGCAGTATAACATTAGGGTAAGCTTCAAAGAATTTGGATGATTTTATTTGGATATTAAGCTAAACAAAGACAATACTTACATACTATTCGTGGAGTGATTCCATTCTACAGGAGCCTTACATTCTGAATTCTTGAATGGCCAGTTTGGGGGAAAGTGGAGCTCTGTTCCCTTAACTGATACCAGCCGAATGGTGAGAGAAAATAAATTACTTTTTGATTAATAGCTTGATTCTTAGTCTGTTAACCAAACAATATATTTTTGGGAAAAGTGTGTATAATTTTGAAGGATGTAAAGTTGTGTCATTTTAAGAGAGAGAAAGAGATAGATAAAGGAGGAGAGAGAGTTGACAAAAAAAATAAAGTTGTGGGTCCCACCTCTTTGTGAGAGTGAAAGGATGTAAGTTGTGTAATTTAAAAGTATAGACACTTTTCCCTATATTTTTTCAGCTAGAAATCCGGACATCATTAATCAACGTAAAAATAGTGTAATGGAGCGCAAATAACATCTTTACTCATTGAATTTAAAGATTCTTTTAAAATACCTAGTATAATTTAGAAAATAGGAATAAAATGTTATGTCTACTTTTTTTTATGAGTATTTCATCTATTTCATTCAAATATCTTTAAATCAGAATTTTAAGAGGAGAGAGAATGAGTGAAGGTTAGTTTAAATTTTGATTTAATGATATTAAAGATGAGTAGGTAGAGTATGTATTCAAAAAAAAGTAAGTATAATCTTTTATTCCTAGAAAATAAAATTTGAAGTTAGTAATATTAATTAAAAAATCGATGGGTTATTACATAAAATAGTTATAGTTATTCTTTTAATATTTATTCTCTTACTTTTTTTTCATTAACAAGGATCATTTACACCTTATTCTATGCAATTTAGAAATTCAAATCCTTGATTTGCATATGCTATGCTTTCTACCTTTTCATTGAACAAGGGCATGCGATCCCTTTGATTGACACACACATTAATAGTTAATTCTCTCATGGGGTTGCACACCTCAATGATCACACTCTAGACTAATTGGCGTCGTCTATGGGAATATATAAATTCCCATTCCCATTCTTAATCATGGCAAACACCAGGAAGACTACCAGGCGCGCAGCGCAGCCCCATGTCACTCCAACATTGTTGTTGTTGCACAACTCAATTCTCCCACCACTCAGATCGACTGGATGGAAACCTCTCTAATTTTCTCTTCCTTCTCTTATCTCCTTCTTCTCTTGCTATTGTTCTCTTCTTTTCCGGATCTACCAAAAGGTTCCGTAACTTCCGTTACAGTCGAACTACCAAGTTGGCATGCAACACTACCAAACGGTCCCATCTCCATATATATCAGGTTCCATAACTTGCTCAATATCAAACTCCTTCCTAACCCCACCGGCAACATGGTTCACTTGCAACTTCCCCTATTTTAGCCTCAACCTGCTTCGTACCCGGTCCAATATTAGACCCTCCTAAACAGAATAAGTATCAGGCTCCTCCTCAACCTACCTAACCACAACCGGCACTTTCCGCGTCAGCTCAACCCTGTACAGTCCTTCAATACTCAACTCACAACTTTGAGAAATCATTATGTGCAACAAACCACTATGGTCATGGAAATTGCCAGCGTCACGAGCACGACTTCCACTGTTGTGTCAATAGATGTAGACCATCGCACCACTACATGGATCAACTCGGATATCTGGCGGACCCTAGCTAGAACCCAAAACGTGCCACTCATTGACCGGCTTACGCTCCCCCACTATCCTGGATAACTTTTAAGGTGCCCACCAACATTAGCCATTATTCCCTTACGTTTTCTCAAGAGAATCCGGATAAATATTTTCATGTCATGTCATTTGTAGAGGCTGACGACTTGTTGCTATGTTGAACCTTCTCATTGTTCCTTAGGAAGAATGCTTTGCATTGGTATAACAACTTGCCAACCGGTTCAGCAGATATAAAGAAATACTTCAACCTAAAATTTTAAGACGTTGGGTAAAAGATTTTTTTAATAATTTATATTATTTTCTAACACATCTTTTATGTAAAAATTCTTTGGACTTCAAACGTGAATATTGTATAGATCTAATTCTTTTTTCTTATGGTTATTTAATTCCACAAGTAGGGGCGGTGATAATCGAACTCATGATTTTATATTCACTTAAGAGTCTGATATCATGTAAAGAATCAATTCAATCTAAAAGTTTAAGCTGGTAGGTGAGGGTTTCTTAATGGCTCATCCAATAAGCTTAAGCTTTTGGGTTGAATTGGTTCTTTACATAGTATGAGAGCCTCGGTGTTACAAATTCGCTCCTCAGCCTCCACTTTCTCTTTTGGAATTTCTTAGTACAGATAGGTGGGTCTGTGCATCATCCACTCTTTAAGTCCAATAAACTCTTGTTTGAGAAGTCGTGTTAGAGTATAATATAAACCATTAAAGAGTCTATCACCTAATAGCTTAAGTTTTTGGATTAAATTAATTCTTTACATGATATCAGAGTCTCATGTCCTGAGTTCGATTCTGATTACCCCCACTTTGTCTTGTGGACTATCTTAACAGAGATAGACCGAGTCTGATGCATCATCCACCCTTCAAATCCAATAGGCTCTTGTGTGAAGGGCATGTTAAAGAATATTATAAACCATTATAAAAGCTCTCACCAATAATTTAAACTTTGGGGTTAAATTGGTTCTTTACATCCCTCTTTTCCAGCATTGACCAACAAGTTGATAATTACTCCGGCTTCAAACTCATTTCATTCATAGATACGTATTCTAGACATAACAAAATTCCTATGTTTGAAGAAGATGAAGAAAAGACAACGTTTGTAATAAAAAAGCCAACTGTTGCGATAAAATGTCGATGTAGTTTCGGCTTAAAAATGCCAGAGCTACCTAATAACAAATAATGAACAAAGTGTTTGAAAAACAGATAGGCAAAATGCAAAAAATTTACATCGATAATTGAAATTTTTGATGAGTTTAAAAAGGCAAAATGCATCCAGCAGGAAAATTCCTTAGGTTCCAGCCAGGGTACTGAGATAAACCTGGACCAGTGACGTGTCGTCATTGAAATGGATAGTCCAAGGAACATTTAAGAGGTACAACAAAATTTGTTATAATAATTATTTCTTTTATAAAATAATTTTATAATTCAGTCTTAATTAAATTTGTTATATTTTTTCTTAGAGTTTTAAACACAATCAGATGTCATTAATTTTACAATTGAGCTAATATATAATTCATTATTAAAAATGTTATTAAATACTATATGGAAACATATATTTAGAATTTAATACTTATACAACTCAATTTTATTTGGTTTGTTTAAGGTAATATTTAAATGCAGAAAAATTATTTAAGATCATTATCATTTCTTTTAACATATTGAGTGAGGTTTTGCTCCAATATACGTACTGCAATAGTTGCTCCTTTGATAGATTTACTGAAAGTAAACAAGTTCCAATTGAATGATGCTGCTCACACAACCTTATCAACCCTTCAAGAAGTCATGTCACAAGCAACCATCCAAGCAACACCTAACAACGCCTCAAATTATGGAATATGTTGGTACTTCTACAACATTGCAGACCCATATCTTACTTTAGTAAGAAGTTAGAACCTCCAATGAAGTCTTCTTCAACATATACTTGATCGTAAACTTATTTTATAACCAAAGCTTAATTAGAAGAGATGGCGTCACTATTTATTTGGTGCCCACTTTATTGTTCGAACAGATACCCCAAGCATTAGAGAATTGTTGTCTCAAACTTTGGATTAGAATAAATATGTGTTTAGGTTTTTTGGTTATTGTTTCACGACAGCATGAAGAGGAGAATGCTTCTAGCCCTGAGCTTTTGAAATTACATCATAGCAGATGCAAGTAGGTGCTACTCGGAATCCTAACATAAAGACAGAGATGGAATGTTCTTCCATAATAAGAGAATCTAGTTAACTTTTACTTCATCCTTGATTCGCTCTTTAATTACATGAAGCACCCTCCACGCCATTTGGTGGTCATGGTGGGAACACACGCAATTACGATTGTCAACTTCATTTAAGGAATTTGTGTAACCGCTCCAAGCATCAATGACTATCCCACACACTAACACGAGACTTTTCAGCGTGTTTTGTCTTTACTCGCTCTCTTTCCGGTAAAACTTCCCAGGAGGTCACCCATCCCAGAATTACTGCAAGTAAAGTACGCTTATCTATGGAGTTCTTTTGTCATGGGCTACCGAAAATTAGATGCATCTTGTTAGTATAGGTAGTACCAATTAATTCTTATAAGTTATCCTCAACTATATTGTTCTATACCAGCACAGTCTCTGGAATCTCTCTCTTTCGGGTGTTGATTCAATTCATTCATGTACCTCCGCAGCTGGAAGCTTACCAGGATCTGCTCCTTGTCTGTGCCCTTGCGCACTGGGGAACCGCTCCTTGTCTATGTCGTTGCGCACCATACCCTTGCACACCGACGATCACTCCATGCTCTCGTCAGCGCCCAAGATGTTACATGCCCGCCAGCTTCCGCCTGGTTCGTCCTCAAACCACACCGTATTTGAAGACAGGTCTGCTTTGATACCACTTTTAACACCTGGCCGCTCCAAGCATCAATAACTATCCTCACACACTAACACGAGACTTTTCAGCGTGCTTTGTCTTCACCGCACACTTCTCGGAAAAACTTCCCAGGAGGTCACCCATCCCAGGATTACTGCAAGTCAAGTACGCTTAACTATGGAGTTCTTCTGTTATGGGCTACCGAAAAGTAGATGCATCTTGTTAGTATAGGTAGTACCAATTAATTCTTATAAGCCATCCTCAACTGTATTGTCCTATACCAGCACAGTCTCTGGAATCCCTCTCTTTCGGGTGTTGATTCAATTCATTTATGTACCCCCGCCGCTGAAAGCCTTCCAGGATCCGCTCCTTGTTTGTGCCCTTGTGCACCGTG